AAACCTCATTTAAGGACCGTATATTGTACTTTGCATAGTATAACCAATAAGGCTATTGTATGGTGATCAGACAATTATATGTGCTAATAAAAATAGTAATAAAAACTTCTATAGCTGAACTGAATTTATTTTCTCTTGAGAGGGGATATAATCAACTTGTATAAATACATAGGTGGTCCAAGAAATGAACTTGGTGTAGAGTTATTCACTTTTAGGTCATTAGAGAACAGAAGGAGATACTCTTTACGCCTGGAGGAAATGAGATTTAACCTTCACATAAGGAAAGGCTTCTTCACAGTAAGAGCTATAAAACGTGGAATAAACTTCCTCAAGAACTGGTTCTCTCCAGCTCAGTAGATTGTTTTGAAAATGAGCTAGATGCATTTCTAAATGCACAATATAACTGGATAAAAACACTTAGAGGTAATAACACCAGGGGTAGTTGAACCAGGGAATATCCGATTGCCTCCTGGGGGATCAGGAAGGAATTTTTTTTACCTCACTGAAGCAAATTGGATCATTGCTATATTGAGGGTTCTTTTCATTCCTCTGGATCAATTGTAGGTATATGATAGTATGTTTATAAGGAGGTTTTCTATTTTGAGTGTGTGTGTGTTTTTTTTTTTATTGGTCAATCTAGATGGACTAGTGTCTTGTTTCAACTTATGTAACTAAGAGAAGAAAGTGCTGCCATTCTGATGAAAAAATGGAGGCTTTGTCAATAGGTGTAATGTGATCTCTGTGACAGGTAAAACTTAACTAATGTGTTACGCATACACATTACATGCCTGCACTTTTTTTTTATTGCAAGTATATAATCATTTAAGGGTTGATTTTAAAAATACTACAAAATCATGCAGTGCTTGCTCTGAAGAAAACACAATATTTTTTGTGGTAGGTTAAATGAATCAGAAATAAAAAGTGCTAGCCCAACCTCAGCTAAAATATTTATAGTCCATCATACCCTTCAGAGACTTTGACAAATAACTAAGTAGCTATTACAGTTATTAGACCAACAGTGCCACCCAGTGGACACTGTAGAAGTCATTTTTCTTTGAAGGTTTTTAAAACATTAAAAATAATACAGTGTCAATCACATCACCTTTTTTTAAAGTGGACCTTCATGCTAAATATATATATATATATATATATATATATATATATATATATATATATATATATATATACCTGAGCCTTCTCCCCCCTCTTTCTCTCACATTTGGATATTATTTATTTTTTTGAACTTCACAAGAATATTGTGCAAGAGGTGAAAATTATATTCACCTCCCTCCTCTGGATTCTGCATGTGCCAGCGCAAAGTCAATCTGAGTATGGAAGCCCCAAACCCTGCCGTGACTGTGCAAATGTGGGAACCTCCCGACATATGTACAGAGGTACCATAGGGCTCTGCCAGGACCCAGAGGCCAGGCAGAGCTCTTTGACACATCTGCGCAGTCCAGGGGCGGACTGACCATTTGGAAACTCGGGCACTGCCCGAGGGCCCGGGGTCAGTAGGGGGCCCCATGAGAAGCCCCTGGTACCTTTTTTTTCATAGGCTTTTTTGAGTTTGGACAAGAACACAGGGGCCCCATGATCCCCTATTGCCCGGGGGCCCAATGAGTTGTTAGTCCGCCCCTGGCGCAGTCGCTTGTCTAACAAAGATGGTGGCCCTGAAACCAAGTGGGGCCAAAGATAAAGGGGACTGAAATTCCTGTTAAACCATTTCAGTTCTCGTACTTTTATATCGATTATAGAAAGGTCAAATTTTACATTTCTACTTATTCACTAATAATTTTGTCATTATTTAAGATAACAACAAAACACATTTTTTTTTGAGGGGGGGGGGGGGGGGAGGCACAAACTAGGCTTTCATTTGGCAATATAGTCTTGCAAAAGGTATTTTATTTTTTAAGTAATCTATAGACAAAAAAAGCATTGCTTTCTGTTTTTGAGCAATGTTAGGTTTAACAGCTTTACTGTTAATAAAAAGTATACAATTTATTCTATAATTTGACCTGTTTTCAATTACTTTAAATGGTTTTCTTTCTGAGACAAAGCATGGCAAAGTCATTTGCATAAAAAAAGTTTTTCTTTTCTAATTTGCGTACTTTGTTTATATGCGACATTGAAAAAAAATAAAACTAATAAAAAACAAATTAAATATTAATGGTAAAAAAGCTAAAAAAACAGCAGAGAAATAAATAGCTAAGGGGAGTAGTGAAGGAAGGAGTTCATTAGTGCTGATTAAGTTTAACTATAGGCTAATGGGGGGTTAAATAGAAACATATGTTATATTAAAAAAAGTTTTGTTTTTTTTTTACTTGTAAGGTCTCGCCCTCCTGAGGATTTACTCCCCTTCCTGACCAGGCCATTTTTTGCGTTACACGCTGCATTACTTTGACAATTGCGCGGTCATGCAACGCTGCACCCAAATAAAATTTACGGCCTTTTTACCACGAATTGAGCTTTCTTTTGGTGGTATATGACTGCCTGTGTGTGTTTTATTTTTTTACGCTATAAAAAAAAAAAGACTGACAATTTTAAGAAAAAAACTACACTTTTGACTTTTTGGTATTAAACAAGTCCAGTGAAAAAATCTAAAAAATACAATTTCGGCAGAAATTTAGGTCAAAATGTATTCTGCTATATGTCTTTGCTAAAAATAAAAATCCCAATACGTGTAAATTAATTGGTTTACGTAAAAGTTATATCGTTTACAAATGGTGGTATATATACTGGGATTTTTTCTTTATTTTTACTAGTAATGACGGTGATCAGCGACTTAAAACGGGACTGCGGGACTGTGACGGGCATTCTGACACTGGGGAGAACTGACTTTGTGTCACTGACATCCCCAGTGACACCAATACAGTGATCAGTGCTAAAAAAAACCACTGACACTGTACTAATCAGGCAGCAAGGGGTTAACATGATGAGTGACCAAAGGGTTAACTGTGTGCTGGTTGTGTTTTTACTATGGAGTGTGTTTGTGCTTCACTGTAATCACACTGCTTTGCATGGCTATGCTGTGCACCACCATCCAAAGCAGTGTGCACGAGCTGACAGGGAGGAGAACTGTTTTGTTTATAAACAGTTCTCCTCCCTGTCGGAGATGCTCAGTAATCACCGGCCGGGACCCAGTGATTGACAGCCACAGCCGCGAATGGCAACGTGCGTAGGGTGCGAGCACTCGTCCTCCTACCTGGAAATGCAAAATCACATTTATATACATGATTTTGTGCACCCGTGCCTCCCTGTAGCAGTATTTCTGCTATGGGGCGGTCAGGAAGCTGTTAACTGATGTCATATGCAGATCACATGTCACATTTGAATGAAATAGTAAATACATTATTCTATTTTATTTACTGTACTCAATGACACTTGCAAACTTTCTGCAAGTGTCCTTTTACACAGGGACAGCTGCATTTTGACAGCGCTCCTGCTGTGCAATACAAAGCAATTTTCAGCTGTTGTTCTAACAGCTGGGATTTGCCAATAATAACGGCGAGGGATTGGCAGTAGTGGTTGGGGGAGAGGAGCTGTATGTAACAGATGTGTGCTAAAAACTTTGTTGAAATTTTAAGAATGTATCACTAAGGGCTCATTCACAGAGGGTATTTTGCCCTGTGCACCAAATCCCTGCATTTTTGCTCAAAGATCTCAAGTGGGTGAAGAGCTTTTTTATTACATTTTTAGTTTTGCATAGGACAAAATACATTCATATTAATATACAAACAGAAATAAAACAGGACTGTTTGTACTCACCAGAAAATCCTGTTCCGAACTGTAGCAACAGGCCAGCAAAATAAAAGAGCACTCATCAGAGGGGAGCTGTGTCCTCTAATGAACTGGAGAAAAGGAGTTTTTTATGGTGAGCACAAAGAATCTTATTTTTCTTCCTTAGCATTCATTGGTGAACAAGGCTCTATTCTTCATCATGTGGGGCATCCAACAGCAGTCCCCAAAGCTGAGGGACAGGTAAAGACACTAACAAAAAAGGTGCAAACATGGAGATATGTCGTCTCCCTGCCACCTGTTTTAGGGCTCGTTCACACTTTACTTTATTTCTAACTCTTGCCAAACGCCCCTATAGTGTTTGATAGTCGTTTGGGAAGGGTTTTTAACGCTCATTAAACGCTCCCCAAACTCCCTATGTGCGGTTTTGAGGCGGTTGATAGGCATTTGCCAAGAGTTAAAACTGCACCACAAATGCCTATAATGAAGTTAAATGGTATTAAGGCTCCGCAACTGCGTCGCAACCGCACCAGAAAACGCCTGCCAGGCATTTGCGGAGCGGCACCATAGACTTGAATGGGAGGCTTCAACTCCACCTGACTTGACACGAGGGGGTTTATTTACTAAAGCTGGAGAGTCCAAAATCAGACTCCCTTCTGCATAGAAACCAATCAGCTTCTAACCTCAGCTTGTTCAATGAAGCTTTGGCAATGAAACCTGGAAGCTGATTGGTTTCTATGCAGAAGGGAGTCTGATTTTGCACTCTCCAGCTTTAGTAAATAAACCCCGAGGTGTCAGGTTTGCCGCAAAGCGACACAACGCTAGTGCCTCAGTGTGAACAGCACTGTGTGCGGCCATGTGCAGAATTTTCATCAGTGTTTGAGAAGTGTTAAAAACACTTCCCAAACGCTTGTCTGACGCCTGCTAACAAAGCTAGTGTGAACTGAGCCTTAAGCATGAAAACCCATGGTACTGAGCTACAACTGCTGGCATTACATACGATTGTGGTGGTTATGGTGCGGCCCCTTTTTACTTAAAGTGGTACTAAACCCAGGACCCTGCATTCACTATATCTAGTCTTCCACAGTACACAGAAAATAGAAATGCAATTATTTTAGTAATTATAAACTGCTAAATACCTTTTCTCTTCAGCAGTTAGAGCAGTCTTGTGACTTCTATCAGTGTCCAGCAGAGTACTGGTTAAAGCTTGTAGAAGGACCCCTGACCTCTGTCTGGACAATGCTGATTTGCCCTGTACTGACCACATGCACTCTCCCAAGTAAAAAAAAAAACCTCTCTAGCAATACACAGCAAACTGAGGATGTGCAGAGTGACTCCACATATATCTTATCAGGAGGTAGGAGGGGGATACTGGAAGAAGCGGAGGATCAGGGAAGACAGGATGAAACTGCGTTTCTACACAATGCAAAGGATTAACCCGTTAGGTTCCACAGTGAGTATAACAAACATGCTTTACTGCATATACAGACTGATTTTACCGTTGTGGGTTTAGTAACACTTTAAATTTACTGCAACTTCTGCATTATGTACCAGGGGTGGACTGACCATTTGGAAACTCAGGCACTGCCTGAGGGCCCGGGGTCAGTAGGGGGCGCCATGAGATGCCCCTGGTACCTTTTTCATAGGCTTTTTTGAGTTTAGGCAAGGACACAGGGGCCCCATGATCCCCTATTGCCTGGGGGCCCCATGAGTTGTCAGTCCGCCCCTGTTATGTCCTAACATTGCTGCTGGCCGTGTTTACCTGACGCTTAGTGGTAAAACCAGGTCTCTGTTTTTGCTCCCTGCCCATGTAATCACCTGATCCTTGTTCAGTAAAGCTAGCCATACACATCATTTTTATTCATTCAACTTACAAGCTGAACCAAAGAAACTTAACAGATTCTTCCATCCAGACTAAAAGCATGGATGTGTGACTCTCCCACTGTAGCTACTGTATTTTGACAGCTGGCACTGCTGGCTGTCAGGAAACCCAAAGAGTGTCTGCATCTGATTAGATGCAGACACTTTTTGGCTGACAACTTATCACCCAGCTCTTTCAATTTTTCTGTTTTTTTTTGAAGGATGTCTGGAGGAGTAATGCCACCAGGACTGCTCAGTGTAAGCCTGATAAAGTCTTATGAATGGCTTTAATTGCATTACTATCCGTTTTCTTACATTTGTCTTGTTTGTCAATGTCTGTTATTAAAAAATACTTATAAAAAAAACTGGAAAAAGTGTAAAAAATCCCACTACCTTCTGTAGGACCTTTTGTCCAAAGCTAGTATCCACTGATCCTGCTACATTCAAGCTGTAGTCCAAAGGCTAGGTAGCTGTTTTGCAGACCCAGGAGACAGAGGCCTGAGTGCAGGAAGAAGTAATCACTGCCCTATTAGAAAGGACACTGACAGGGAAGAAAGATGCATATTCCTTTAGGGAACGTGCCAGAGAAGCATACTGAAGAATCCATCTGGATAATATGACATTGGAAGCTGGAAAACCATTGAGAATGTTGATAGACCCTGACTTACTAGAAGTTCATGTAGGTCAATCACCTTAGGATTAGTAGAAGCTGGATAGAAGGAAGCAAACATTATTAAAGTGGAAGAAAGACAAAGCTTTGGGCAAAAAGGAAGGTCTAAGTATTAAGAGGATCTTACTGTATACCTGTGAAAGATAAGAAAAGGACCCTGGAAGATAATGACATAAGCGATATTTCCTGAATAGGTTCAAAGTTCGATATTTGAACTGTGGGATGCACTGACTTTGGGGGGGGGGGGGGGGGGTTTCCCCTTAAGCTGGTCTCGGATGGAAACCTTTTTTTTTATCATTAAATCAACTCAAATATACATGTATAGTTGAGGTACAGTATCAAAGGTAATATAATTATTATTATTATTCAGGATTTATATACAGTTTGCGCAGAGCTTTACAATATAAAGGGGAGACAGTACAATTACAATACATTTCAGTACAGAAGGAACAGGAGGGCCCTGCTCCTTGGAGCTTACAATCTAAAGGGTATGACCAGGGGCAGACTGACAACTCATGGGGCCCCCGGGCAATAGGGGATCATGGGGCCCCTGTGTCCTTGCCCAAACTCAAAGAAGCCTATGAAAAAGGTACCAGGGGCATCTCATGTGCCCCCTACTGACCCCGGGCCCTTGGGCAGTGCCCTAGTTTCCAAATGGTCAGCCCGCCCCTGGGTATGACAGCATATACAGTTTCTGGGAAAACGTAGTCTGATAAGCATAAGCACGGTCGCCATGGTTAACTGACTGAACAAGCCAAAAGGATATTGTGCATAATTGTGGCCCAGAATAAGAAAACAACTGCTGCAAAAATTACTGCAGAGCTAAATCTGAGTCTTCACGGGACTGAGATTGAGCTCTGCAGCCACTTTTGTAGCAGTTGTTTTCTTATTCCAGGTAACAATCCTGCGCTATGTCCTTTTTGGTCAGTTGACCATGTCATCTGCGCATATGCTTATCAGACGTATATGCAGGGACGTAGATAAGGGGGGAGGGGGTCAGGGGGTTCAACCTTCCACCAGAGCATTGTGCCAAAAATCAACTACATGATGTCCCTGCTGTACTGCTTGTGTTAAGTGTTCTTTGTATTTTCTCTCTTTTCCTCCCTTTCCTTTGATTTAGTTCATGCTGTATAGATAGCCTACCCCTTTTCAAAGTAAAGCATTTCAGCTTCTAGCCTCATGTCACAAAGCAGATCACATTATGATCTTTTGACCTATCAGACGTTCATTGCTGTAAGATTCTCTCAGTTTTTAGAATAAACTTCACAAGATCTACAAGCTGTCATCTAGATTGAGTCACTGCCTGTGTTATTCAACTAAGATTGAAGTTATCGCCATCTCATCAGAACTGTAAGTTACAGAGATCACACTTTCAATGCTTAGATTGGAGAGACGGAACAGCTGGGCTCTGGCATTTGGAATCAGAAGCAGTGGGCACTTGGCTCACTGCTCTGCTACACCTCCACTCCAGAGTCTGGCCCGGCATAACCCATTGGTCGGTGTGTGCTCTGTAGTACTGAGCGGCTGAGCCTGTCAGGCTTGGGTTCAGTTGGCTGAGGGAGGAGGAAGATGTTGGTCGAGTGGAGTGGACTGTGTCACAGTGACTCACCCCTGGCCCCACCCCTGTCCAAAAGCAGCAGGAACACTGAGCAAAACAGGAGCACCTGTCCCGCCCATCACGATTGACTCCTCCTCCTTGCAGTTTCGTTCTGGTTGCCGCCCTGTTGCCATACCAGCTGAGCAGAAGGGGAGCGTCTGCCCCACCGCTATTATTACTGGATGCACAGTTCTGCTTCCCGTCTTTGGCTTGGGTGAGGTCAGAGATTGCCTGGGTCCTGCTGCTGTACCAGTGCAGAATGCAATGCTGCCCACCACGTGGTTGTGAATGAAGTGCTCCAGAGTCCTCCATTCAGTGTCAGTCCAGGAGTTCTAAGGACACAAGAATTCGAAAGAGTGGGGAGACAAAAAAAATAACCCCAAAACAGAGGTAATAAGTATAAAGGCCTGAATCCAGACCTAATTAGGTGCAATATGAACTGTGGCAAAGACAACGTGAGTAATAATCAGCAAGTGAACATAAATAATACATAAAAATGTAAAGGCCTGAACCCAGACCAAACTAAGTGCAATATAGATTGTGATGAAATACGTGTGAGTGCCCCTCTTGTGTTCTCAGGGCCAGGCTAGCCTATTATTATTATTTTATTATTATACAGGATTTATATAGCGCCAACGGTTTGCTCAGCGCTTTACATTACGGTGGGAGACAATACAGTAACAATACAGTTCAATACAAGAGGGAATTGAGGGCCCTGCTCCTTGGAGCTTACAATCTAGAGGGGAGGGGTGAATGGTACAATAGGTATAACTGTTGGGGATGGAGTGGTTGGAAGAGTAGAGTATTCCAGTATTAGCAAAGGGCAGGATAGGCTTCCCTGAAGAGATAGGTTTTTAATGATCGCCTAAAGGTAAGTAGAGTAGGTGATAGTCTGATAGACTGGGGTAAGGAGTTCCAGAGGATGGGTGACGCCCTGGAGAAGTCTTGGAGACGAGCATGGGAGGACTAGATAAGGGAGCTAGAGAGTAGGAGGTCTTGCGAGGAGCGGAGTGTACGGTTTTGGTGATATTTAGAGATAACATCGGATATGTAAATTGGGGCAGTGTTGTGAATGGCTTTATACGTCATAGTGTTTTGAATTTTATCCATTGGGCAATGGGAAGCCAGTGCAGGGATTGGCAGAGAGGGATGGCAGATACAGAACAGTTAGTAAGGTGGATGAGTCTGGAAGCAGCATTCATGATAGACTAGAGTGGGGATAGCCTGTGATGAGGTAGGCCAATGAGGAGGGAGTTACAATAGTCGAGGCGAGATATAACAAGGGAGTGAATATGCTTACCTGCTGTGAGCTAAATTTAATGAATTTCATTCATGATTGGAAAGATTAGAAACCAGCAAAGTTGGTTATTGAGGCTGGGCTGAGTCTTCCACTGCTGAGACGTTAGGCCCTGGCTCAGGCTGGGCCAGTTCATATCTAATGATCATTTAGGATCATGGATGGAAACGCTGTGATTCTGCCCGTGATTCCAAATCGCACTACAACCAACCCTGGAAAAATGTAGCACACGTGACGTGTTTGTGTTCCATTCATTTGTGGTGACGTCAAAATGTGGTGTGATTTTGTTGAGATTTTGGAGTGTTTGTTGTGTGATAAATCTCTTAATAATCTCAACAAAGTCACACTACATTTTGATGCCACTAAAAATGAATGGAACACAAACACATCATGTGTGTTGCGTTTTGCCAGTATTGCAGTATGATTTGGAATCACAGGCAGAATCACAGCGATTTCACCCATGATCTCAAATCACTATATGTGAACTGGTCCAGCCCAGGACCTAACGCAACAGCACTGGAAGACTCGGCCCAGCCTTTGTCACTGTCATTAAGACCCTGTTCACATCTAGCGATTTTGGACTGTGTGCTGTGCGGAATCGCTGCTATTCCAAATCACACTTCAATCCTGGCACTGGCAAATTGCAGCACACATGATGTGTTTGTGTTCCTTTCATTTTTAGTGACACCAAAATGTAGTGTGACTTTGCCAGCATTGCAGTGCGATTTGGAATTGTGGACAGAATCACAGTGACTCTGCCCACAATCCTAATTTGCTAGTTGTGAGCAGGGCCTTAATGAAAGGCTAGGTTGAGTGTTCCATTTTCACACTGTTGCATTCTAACGTGAACCTAGGCTAATGGTACTTCCATGCAACTCCACTAAGTAGTTCTTATTTGCAAGTGCAGGAAGGTGTGCGATTACACACCTTCCCGCACCCGCTCAATGTGAAACAATAATATTCTGTGATTTCTTTACACATGCAGTGGTGCTGTGCCCACATTGCACAGGTTAACTGTTCATTTTTATCTAGGGGATTGCAGAGCTGAGATATACTTACCTAATCCTTCAATCCTCTCAGGCCCAGCACAAGACCAGTCCCTGCCACTTCTGCTTCCTGCAGTCTAGTGGTCTTGTGCAGTGGACCGTTCCTGATGTCATCACACCCATAGACTGGTTCTTGGCGTGAGGATGGCAGGATCAGTCCACTGCCGAACATGGCAAAGCGCCATTTCCGGAGGATCAAATGATTGGGTGAGTATAAGCTCTGCATTCACCCCTGGAAAAATCAAGCATTTAACCTATGCAGCATGGGCACAGCACCACTGTATGGGGGAAAAGAAATGTCCTGGATTTCTGCATGCATGAACACCACCTCATTTTATGAAAGTAATGGCTTGTGGGCTGGGTAAAGTGCTGTGTGCTGTAATTCTCCGTATCTGTCCTTATTCTGTATGTATGGACTCTGCACAGTCCCACTTCTCCTGTTCCTGTATGCTGGGTGTCATTCTCGGTATGTCCTCTTATTCTGTATGTATGGACTCTGCTCAGTACCTCTTCTCCTGTCCTGTATGCCGGGTGTCAATCTCGGTATCTGTCCTTATTCTGTATGTTTGGACTCTGCACAGTCCCATTTCTCCTGTCCTGTATGCCAGGTGTCATTCTCGGTATCTGTCCTTATTCTGTATGTATGGACTCTGCACAGTCCCACTTCTCCAGTCCCTGTACGCTGGGTGTCATTCTCGGTATGTCCTCTTATTCTGTATGTATGGACTCTGCACAGTCCCACTTCTCCAGTCCTGTATGCCGGGTGTCATTCTCAGTACCTGTCCTTATTCTGTATGTATGGACTCTGCACAGTACCACTTCTCCTGTCCTGTATGCCAGGTGTCATTCTCGGTATGTCCTCTTATTCTGTATGTATGGACTCTGCATAGTCCCACTTCTCCTGTCCTGTATGCTGGGTGTCTGTCAGGGCTCCGGATATGACCAGAGGTGTGTGGCCCGACACAGGGAAACACAGACTTCAGGTATAGCATGTAAAACAATATAATTTATTAAGGGCAACACAAACATAAACGCACTGCAACAAACCAAACCCAAAACTAACACAAATATGTACAACAAGGTGCAACAAACCCAAACCTTAACTGATATACAGTGGGGATCGAACGTTTGGGCACCCCAGCTAAAAATTTGTATTAATGTGCATAAAGAAGCCAAGGAAAGATGGAAAAATCTCCAAAAGGCATCAAATTACAGATTAGACATTCTTATAATATGTCAACAAAAGTTAGATTTTATTTCCATCATTTACACTTTCAAAATAACAGAAAACAAAAAAATGGCGTCTGCAAAAGTTTGGGCACCCTGCAGAGTTAATATCTTGTACTGCCCCCTTTGGCAAGTATCACAGCTTGTAAACACTTTTTGTAGCCAGCCAAGAGTCTTTCAATTCTTGTTTGAGGTATCTTTGCCCATTCTTCCTTATAAAAGTCTTCCAGTTCTTTGAGATTTCTGGGCTGTCTGTCACGCACTGCTCTTTTAAGGTCTATCTATAGATTTTCAATTATGTTGAGGTCAGGAGATTGTGAAGGCCATGGCAAAACTTTCAGTTTACGCCTCTTGATGTAATCCCCCGTGGATTTCAAGGTGTGTTTAGGATCATTATCCATTTGTAGAAGCCATCCTCTCTTTAACTTCAGCTTTTTCACAAATGGCATCAAGTTACCATCCAAAAATTTGCTGAAATTTTCTTGAATCCATTTTTCCTTCTACTCGTGAGATGTTCCCTGTGCCACTGGCTGCAACACAACCCCAAAGCATGATTGATCCAACCCCATGCTTAACAGTTGGACAGAGGTTCTTTTCATTAAATTCTGTGCCCCTTCTTCTCCAAACGTACCTTTGCTCATTCCGGCCAAAAAGTTCAATTTTAACCTCATCGGTCCACAGAACTTGTTTCCAAAAATGCATCAGGCTTGTCTATATGTTCATTTGCAAAGTTCAAACGATGATTTTTGTGGTGAGGACGTAGAAGAGGTTTTCTTCTGATGACTCTTCCATGAAGACCATATTTGTACAAGTATCTCCTTATAGTGGAATAGTGTACCACAACTCCAGTGTCTGCCAGATCTTTCTGGAGGGATCGTGCAGTCAAACGTGGGTTTTGAATTGTTTTTCTCACAATCCTGCGAGCTGTTCTGTCTGATATTTTTCTTGGTCTTCCAGATCTTGCTTTAACTTCCACTGTTCCTGATGACTGCCATTTCTTAATTACATTCCGAACGGAGGATATTGACATCTGAAAACGCTTTGCTATCTTCTTATAGCCTTCTCCAGCTTTGTGAGCGTCAACTATTTTCAGTTTCAGTTTTCTAGACAACTGCTTAGAAGAACCCATGGTGCTGATTGTTGGGGCAAGGTCAGATGAGTCTGGGCATTTAAAACCTTTGAGATTGACATCACCTGGTCTTCCCAGACGATGATTGAGAACAATCCATGACACTGGCAGGTCTCAGCTTGGCAAAGGGGGCGGTGCATGCTATAAATTCTGCAGGGTGCCCAAACTTTTGCAGACGCCATTTTTTTTTTTTCTGTTATTTTGAAAGTGTAAATAAAATCTAACTTTTGTTGACATATTATAAGAATGTCAAATCTGTAATTTGATGCCTTTTGGAGATTTTTCCATCTTTCCTTGGCTTCTTTATGCACATTAATACAAATTTTTAGCTGGAGTGCCCAAACTTTCGATCCCCACTGTATATATATAAATATGGAGCACAACGTAGTCAGGCGGGCTGGGTCGGTAGCTAACGGGCAGACAAGGTACAAGGAGTAGGCAGAAGATTGGTCAGGAGTAGCCGAGGTCGGTGCAGGCAGAGTTCAAGCAGAGAGTCAGGATCAGGCAGGAAGCAGACAGGATGCAGGTACAGGGGCTCATGGGAACAATACACCAATGCCCTGACTGCAGGCCTGGCCATTCCTTAAATACACCTTCTGCAATCAGCCTCAGGTGATGGCTTGATTGCAGGAGTCAGCTTCTGGCTGCTGAGAGCACCCGCTGGCCAGCCCTGGTACTGCAGCCCACAAGGCAGGTGAGTCCCACCACCATTGGCGAGTCCATTCCTGACAGTGTCATTCTCGGTATGTCCACTTATTCTGTATGTTTGGACTCTGCATAGTCCCACTTGTCCTGTCCTGGATGCCGGGTGTCATTCTTGGTATGCCTCTTAATTTGTATGTATGGACTCTGCATAGTCCCACTTCTCCAGTCCTGTATGTCGGGTGTCATTCTCGGTATGTCCTCTTATTCTGTATGTATGGACTCTGCATAGTCCCACTTCTCCTGTCCTGTATGCCGGGTGTCATTCTCGGTACGTCCTCTTATTCTGTATGTATGGACTCTGCTCAGTACCACTTCTCCTGTCCTGTATGCTGGGGGTGTCATTCTCGGTATGTCCTCTTATTCTGTATGTATGGACTCTGCATAGTCCCACTTCTCCTGTCCTGTATGTCGGGTGTCATTCTCGGTATGTCCTCTTATTCTGTATGTATGGACTCTGCTCAGTACCACTTCTCCTGTCCTGTATGCCGGGTGTCATTCTCGGTATGTCCTCTTATTCTGTGTGTATGGACTCTGCAAGTACCACTTCTCCTGTCCTGTATGCCGGGTGTCATTCTCGGTATGTCCTCTTATTCTGTATGTATGGACTCTGCTCAGTACCACTTCTCCAGTCCTGTATGTCGGGTGTCATTCTCGGTATGTCCTCTTATTCTGTATGTATGGACTCTGCTCAGTACCACTTCTCCTGTCCTGTATGCCGGGTGTCATTCTCGGTATGTCCTCTTATTCTGTGTGTATGGACTCTGCAAGTACCACTTCTCCTGTCCTGTATGCCGAGTGTCATTCTCGGTATGTCCTCTTATTCTGTATGTATGGACTCTGCACAGTCCCACTTCTCCTGTCCTGTATGCCAGGTGTCATTCTCGGTATGTCCTCCTATTCTGTATGTATGGACTCTGCATAGTCCCACTTCTCCTGTCCTGTATGCCGGGTGTCATTCTCAGTACCTGTCCTTATTCTGTATGTATGGACTCTGCATAGTCCCACTTCTCCTGTCCTGGATGCCGGTTTAACACAAAAGTAGTGAATGTGCTGCCTTTCACAAGATGGTGCCCTGTGCGCCTGGCCAGTAATGTTCGCTAGTAGTTCACCATCCTGTTGTTGGCAGTGAATTCCATTTTTTTTTTTCTCAGAAATTTAAAAAAAAGTCAGAGTGCCGCTTGACACAAAATGGTGCCATTTACACCATAATAACCAAGCCCATCTTACTAAGCAGGTGCAAAGGGCACCATCTAGTGGTAGGTAGGCTGCAGCACACTGACTTTGTGTCAGTTCAGTTTGCACACTGTGACTAATTGCCATCCTTACTGAGCAGGTGCTAAGGGCACCATCTTATAACAGGCAGTGCACTTTTTTTTACCTGTAAACTATATACTAAGAAAGTTTATAAAATGTTTTTTGAGCTACAAGGTGTCCGCGCATTTTTTTTTTTTTTTGTGACCAGTAATCCTGCTGAATTTTTGCTCCTGTGGAATTATCTGCTCACCGTCTGTCTTTAGAGGACCAGGTATGTACTATAGTATTTCTATATTATACCTTAATCCATACAATATTGCTTTGTTGGTATCTTTCTTTCTTTGGAGGAATGGATGTTCCTTGATATGTGTAGTTTTTTAGCTATTAAACAAAAAGTCATAAAATTCCTTTTTTTCCTGCCCCAAGATGGTGCTTTCTGCACCTGATCACTGGACAAAAGCCAACCTTACTGGTCAGGTGCATAGGGCACCATTCTGTGGCAGGCAGCACACTCACTGGAGTTCTTTAAAAACTGTTAGAGAAGGAATTTTATGACATTTATTAATAGAAGAAAAATATCACTACTGTGGTAGGTGATGGGCTTACAGCTTTTTTTTCGTAAAAACAAATCTTACAATTCTGAAATACATTTAATATGCGTACTCCTAGTATTACTTTTCAGTTGGGCACCTTATTTCACACCCTCCTGCTTCTTCATCTTTTCAGAGATTTGCATCTACATTACCGCGGTGTGCCGCACCGGTCACTAGCTGAGCTGCAAGGTGTCCGTGCAGTGTTTTTTTTTTCTCTGTGACCAATAATCCTGCTGAATTCTTCCTTCTGTGGAATTATCTGCTCACCATCGGTCCAGGTATGTACAGGGACGGACTGACCATTTGGAAACTCGGGCACTGCCCAAGTGCCCTGGGTCAGTAGGGGGCCCCTTGAGATGCCCCTGGTACCTTTTTCATAGGCTTTTTTGAGTTTGGGCAAGAACACAGGGGCCCCATGATCCCCTATTGCACGGGGCCCCATGAGTTGTCAGTCCGCCCCTGGGTATGTACTTTAGTATTTCTATCACTTTAATCCGTGGAACTTTGCTTTGTTACTGTCTTATACAGTGTATACAGTACTTATACAGTATATATCTGTGGACATGTTTCTTGTTGTGGAAATAGAACTGATTATGTGACGTCCCTGGTTGTTCTGACATTCTTTTGATTGTTACTTAAGTGTTTAGTTGGAAGGAGATTTGTAAGGAGTGCTGATTTCATTGATGGATAGAGTAGGATTTCCTGAATATACATTTCACTGGTCACTTATTGTCATGTTGTACATTTACTGCCTGCATATTTTCATGATTACTTGCCTCGCTAGTTACCTGTATACCATTTACTGCATGCAAATTGTTTGCAAATAAAAGTAGACCTTTTTTGCTATGTTCTTCTAGGAAACCACAATGAAGGCAGCAGCAGTAAAAAGATCAAAGCAAACTCCTATTAGTTCCTTTTTTTTTACCAGAAAGTTCCTAGACAGGACTCACTGGATAAAAATGAATAGATGGCTTATCATTACAGCAAAATAGCTCTAGTTCTTTTACGATCAATGAGTCCCCTGATTCAGCAACAATGGAGGAATGTAATGCACCTAGCAGTGTTGCTGTATGTTCACCGACCCCATTGAAGAATGACATATATAATTTTGTGAAAAAAAAAAAGCAACATAAGTGATGCAGAAAGATTAGGCATTCTAAAGAATCTTTGGGTCCCAGATGAAACATATTCATTTCCAGTGTCAAAACACTTTCAAGCAAAAGGACGAAATCTAAGATTCCAGCACAAGTGGCTATCTAGATGGAAGTGGTTGGCTTATTCTACAGCTGAAGATGGGGCTTTCTGCAAATACTGCTAAGCTTTTTCAAAATCAGGAGCTGGGGTCAACTCTCGGCCACTTGCCACTGTCAGGGAGCGAGGAGCCAGACACACAAGGAGGTGCAATTAAAGATAGGTTTATTAATATAAAAATAAGACAAGAGTCTATGCAAGTCCAACAGTGGAAATCGTAGCCAAAGCCGGGATCAAGAGCCAGGAAGAATCATCGCCAGAGCCGGGATCAGGAGCCAGGAAGAATCGTCACCAGGCCCGTGTGCTACCTAAGTGTATTGAAAAATGCAATGTGCTACCTACTGCACAATCTTTGAAAAGTATTTGTTGAACTGGATGGATAGAGAGATTTGATGCAGTCACTGATTTTATAGAACTACTTGAGCCATTGGTAGAAGCACTGACAACTGTATCATGCTGGCCAAAAGATTCGTCAGACACATCTAAAGAGGCAAACTCTTTATTGTGCTCTATTCTACAGTGTGACTTTATCATCTCTCTCTTTGTGACCGCAAAGGTTTTTGGACTTGGTCGAACATTAAGTAAAGTCCTTCAAAAGCCAACTCTGTGCTTAAAAGAAGCAATGAAAGTAGCTGAAGACACAATACAAGAACTGGAAGCTCTGAGAAGCTGATGCTACAGGAACCTTTCAAACTCTTTCAAACAGCAACAGATAAACAATGTCAGAAGCTGAACATTATAATCTCTCTTCCAAGAGTAGTAGCAACCCAAAGAAACAGACCTAACTACATGACCAATTGTCCTGAAAAGTATTTCCAACTAGCAGTATATATTTCATTTTTGGACAGTTTTATAACAGAGCTGAACTGTAAGTTTTCTGAGCATAAGAAAGTGCTATCTGGATTTTCATCCTTTTTTTCCAGCTGAAACCAGTGATGTCCTTATGAAAGAGGAAGACCTGGAAGGCTTCAGGACCTTAGTTACATTTTATATGAGCGATATGAAGGGTAGTGTTGAAGATGTTATAGCTGAACTGCAGTTATGGAGAAGGAAATGTAGGAAACTAAACCCAAGGCCATCATATGCTATGAGTGGACTCCGCATATGTGACAAAGACATATATCCAAACATTGCTACTCTTCTGCAAATTCTGGCAACACTTCCTGTGTCAACTTCCACACCTGAGAGGTCATTCTCCAGTCTGAAAAGGATCAAGACATACAGTACTTGAGGAATACAACAGGACAGGTACGTAAAATAATGCATTATTAGAAGTTGAATATTACTACTTTAGTTTCTATAATGTGTGTTTTTTTTTTTCCTTAACAGAACAGACTGAATGGACTAGACTCAGTTCACCATTTGGAACCAATGACACCATTGGAAGTTTTGCATGAGCTCTCTAAGAAAAAAGAAAGTGGACATGTCATTATAGCTTTGGTAAGTACTCTTTATGTCCTCATGCATTGTATTTTCTGTACTGGGCCATGTTCAAATGAAGTTGACTATTACAAGTATTCTTCAAAAAGTCTCCACACTTTTTGTAGCTGTTTAGTTAGAAAAAGTGCAGAAGCTTTGCGAAGACCTCTCATACTATTTTTCTTTCCATAATGTATTTTTTTTTCTTTAATCTTATCATACCAGGCTGAATGGATTAGCACTCCTATCAGTTTACCATTTTAAACCAGTGATACAACTGCAAGTTTTTGATAAGTTCACCAAGAAAAAAGAAAGTGAACATGTCATTACAGCTTTGGTAAGTAATCTTTCTTATATCCTCATGCAACGTATTTTCTGTTCTGGGCCATGTTCAACTGAAGCTGACTATTTTAAGGGTTCTTCAAAAGGTTTTTCCACTTTTTGTAGCTCTGTTTAGTAAGAAAAAGTACAGAAACTTTTTGAAGAACTCTCATACTATTTTAGTTTCCATAATGTTTTCTTTTTTTTCTTATCAGGCCAGGCTAAATGGATTAGCACTCTTATCAGTTTACCATATGGAACCAGTGACACCACTGGAAGTTTTTGATAAGTTCGTGAAGAAAAAAGAAAGTGGACATGTCAAGGGTTCTTCAAAAAGTTTCCGCACTTTTTGTAGCTCTGTTTAGTAAGAAAAAGTGCAGAAACGTTTTGTAGACCTCTCATACTATTTTAGTTTCCATAATGCATTTTTTTTTTATTTTTTTTTCTTATCAGGCCAGGCTCAATGGATTAGCACTCTTATTAGTTCACCATTTGGAACCAATGGCACCATTGGAAGTTTTGTATGAGCTCGCTAAGAAAAAAGGAAGTGGACATGTCATTATAGCTTTGGTAAGTAATCTTTGTTATATCCTAATGCAATGTATTTTCTGTTCTGGGCCACGTTCATAAAAACTGGAAGAAGGAAAAACTGAGAGGATATTTAATTTTTAAGAGGACTTAAGAAAATAGAATTAAGTATGTGATTGCTTACTGTGGGCAACACATTTAATTTTCCTTTTTACAATCTTTATGAATTTGGCGCAATTTATGTTATTTAAAAAATTTTAATTGATAGCTGATGAACCCCAACCCCCCAGAACAAAAAATAATCGACGGGCCTGCGTATATGCTATCATAATCTTTGATATTGTATCTCACGACACGGCAGATAAATTGGCAACTAGAATCAAAGAGGCACCTGCTAAGCGGGCAAAAAAAAAAAAAATAATTTAAAATATATATATATATATATATATATATACTGTACATACACACACAAACATACACTCTGTATTTTTTTCTAGTATTATTTATTATTTTTCTTCTTTTTGTGCAACACAGTTTTCAGGTGATGACTATAGCATGAATTTATTCATTAAATAGGAAATGATGAACACAAATGAGAGATTTGCTTTAGGCCCAAACAGCCCAGCATGAATACGGAAAATCATTATCACATAC